GTCTCGCTGGCGGGGCGGGACTGATGGTAAGCACCAGTACCGGTAGGATATAGTGACTGGTAGAAATCATAGAGGGAAGCACAATGGACCAATACAGGTCTAAATGCATGGGGAAACCCACCCTCTCCAATAACTAACTAACTAAGTCAGTAAGCTGAAGTTGTCCTTGTGCTTAACTACGCATCATACAATGTAAACGTTTGTGGAAATGGAGGTATAGCTTAACAATTCTTAACCTAGGGACTAGGTGGTGAGCGGTCAGCTTCACGCCCCAGCCGCTTTAGCGTCGGAGAACAAGATGCTGGGTGGGCCCCAGAGCCGGTCCGGACGCTGTGCAATAGAGAAAAATCCCTTGCCCCTGCCGGAAAATGAACCCAGACCGTGCAGCCCGTAGCCATACCGACTGAGCTAACCCGGGTTCTTTAAATAAGCCAGCTGTTAAATAATATTCGGCAGCAAAACAGTGTTTCATGAGTAAAATGTTTGTACAAATATTTTAACCAAATTCCTGACTGTATTTTACAAAGCTGTCTTTGTATATAGGTTATACTTAGCAATCACTATGGCAATTAAAATTTGCTCGTTCCTTATATGGCCTATTCTTAGACCCTGGAGATGGAGGAAATATGTTTCTCCGAGACGTCGGCTATAACTTTCATATCCCAGAAGACAGAACCCCTCATAATCACTGCTGTGAGAACCTCAAATCCAACCACAACGAAATATCACATCATTTCCGCTAATACTGGTTCCGGCTTGCATCTCCCCCTGTATTACAAGACTGTCATTCATTATTAATGTTGTTTAACAAGACATAACTTCATATACTCCTACGAAGGCGAAGTATACCTAAAAAGACGAAAGAAAAGTGTTTACAAACATCCACCGGGCACTGTAATCCATGGATCTGGGAAAGCTCCACCGTCATCCGTGGTCTGCATGTCTTCGAAAGATAGCCCCCCACTCCGCCAAAAGAAGGAAAAAACGACAAGTCCCATGAAACACTGTTTTCTTATATGGCCGGCTGGCAGGGGCGGGTTTGTGTAGGTAAGATAAGCAGATCGGGGCGCCAGGTTTACAGATTACAATCATTGTGTGCAGGGGGCTCAGGACTACGGCTCCGCATACCACAAGACAAACCAAACTCGTTATCCACCAAACATGGACAAGGAATGCTTGTTCATCCCAGAGCGGCCTACAGCTCCTTAGGGTTCCACAAGCGAGTGCTTCTCACAGAAAAGAATGAGTTGCCGACGAGAGGAAAGTAAATTATTCCCGTGTTTGGATAAGATAGTAAGAGAGATGAATACAAATTCGTTAATGCTCCTACCATTTACGATGGTTACTTGGGAGACTACAGCTTCAGGCATGTGCCCCGACAGAGTTCTCACGCTACACACTTCTCTGAAAGTGGAAAGTTTGGTATCCACCCTACACGCCGTTGCCACCCAGAAGACAAACACGAGTGACCACAAAAACTTCAAAATTTATACTTCACAGTTAGCTAAGCACATCATACTGTGGATTCACCTTTGCCTTACCCATGGAGATGTAAGGGGGGCATTGAGGTACAGATCCAAGCATTCTTTATCTCTGCACTAGATGGACGTGGTCAGCTGCACGCACCGGCTGTTTTACTTCCAGAGGCTGAGTAGGGCCACGAGCTCGTTTATACGCAGTGCACAGTGCCAAAGGAAATACCCTTTCCTCTACTGGGAATCGAATCCCGCTCGACAAGTCCGTGTCCATATCATTACACTGCACAGTTCTCCCATTCCCTCATCCACGGTTCGTAGTCAAATGGGAAAAGAAGAAGAGAAACAGAATTTTTGGTTCACACAGCAGGGGTTATGTGGGGTTTTATCTTGTGGGTTATAAAACTGTGTCAGCTGACTTTTCGGACCAACATGAAGCCTACATCTTCAGGATGGAAGAAGCAGTCATGAAGAACCAGTATAAAGTACTGATGTTATAGCAAGTGTCACGTAACTTCAAACAAAGCCAAGAGTAACCTTGA